TTTTGATCGTTTCCTCTTATCATTCATTAGTCCTAAAGGTCGTATCATCAATCTGTTATGGTCATCTAAGCTCTAGTTATTGTATTGTTGAGGAATTGGGGTGGGTGGTGGTTTGGTGGAATATGCTGTATGTTAAAAAATAAAAGGAAGCAAGAAAATATCTGGTGGATGGGCAACATGCTACACTTCTTCCTTTAAGATGGATAACTTATCATTTCCTTTTCATCTATTTTCCCCTTTTGTCAATATACAAGAAATATTCTCAAATACTTGTGCTCATTTTTATTTTTCTCTCACCCATATATTCTACTTTAAGATCATTTATCAAGTCAAATGCCTTTCCATCGATCTCTTCCTCCGGGAAAGGTTTTTTTGTCTTTCTTCCCATCAACCTAGTATCAAGTTTACTCCGGTAGTTCTTTTGTTTATGTCAAGCCTATTATGTATCTTACAAATATCAGTGAGAGTCTGTTAGCCTGAAAAAAAAGTTAGTTTGAAATAGTGGCTGAGGTTGTATTGCTTCCTTCAATACTACTTTGACACGGTTGAGTTAATGAATAATTTGATTACAATGATTTGTCTTTTTTATTCAATTTATTTATTGAGATATGCATAACATGCCCATGAACTCAACATTTACTTGCCTTTTGGATCTGTTTTGTCTCCTTGTTGGTCTTCTGTTAATAAAAATGTCAATGCACAACATAAATTAAGTAGAATTCACACTTATACTCTGAATAACATAATAATACCTTTTGTGTTGTTTATTGTTCTTCAAAATGATAAAACTGTTGCATCCTGGGTTAGAAAACTGTATTTTTTGCATGCCAAATATACAACCCAAAGGAGGATAAGTTTCTTGGTTCGAGGTGTTATTCTTTAGGTAGCCTATAAGTATTACATTGATTGCACTCAGGACTTGTCACCAAAATTCTTTGGACTCTTGTGGAAGAGTTTTAGTACAACAAGATCTGGTTATCTTTCAAAATTATGAATAGCCTGTTGACATTTTGTTCTTTTTGCACCTTGAATAGTTGATAGGTGGGTAATTTCTTGGAAAATACAAATTGGGTGTTTCTGATACTTAAAATGGGGCTATTTCTACTGTTGATAGATAACATCCAATGTCAACAATAGTTGCAGTTATCGTTAATTCACTTTAACATGTTTATGTGTATCTTTCATCTGTTTTTTGGTAGCTAATAGCTACATTGATCAGTTTTATCTGGGTAGTGCGTCAATTACATGTTTAATAAACTTTGACTCGACATATTTGTGGTCTATAGTTGTTTTTCTAATTTGTAACACAAATTTGTGGCTTAAGATATTATGATGAATGTATCTGTGGCAATTAGCCCAATATTGTTCTTCAGATGCTTATAATCGCGCCATTAGGTACTATTTTGACTTCTTGGATGTGATAATGGCCTGTACAATGCTTTCTTTGCATGAATTTGGCTGTTGGTTTGGCTTTGAGTAATTTATTCAGTCAGCAAATGGGTGAGATGAATCCTTGTGCTAGTACATTGCATTGGGTATTCCTTTAAACAGCTGTATGAAAATTAGAGTAAATATTCATATCTCATTTTTTCCCTTTTCTTCCACACCTTTGATGAGTTGATCTAATTTAGTGTGATATGGGAACTCCATTTTTACATGACATGGTTTGTTTTGGTATATATCTGTCAGAAAAAGTTATTTTCTTGTTACTATTTTACATCCGAAAGTCATTATTAGCTCCAGCCATATCTGAACAAAAATTATTTATGATGTCATGATATGAAAAGCCCCTTTCTATTGTGTCAGGTACTTGATAGCCACGCACACTACGGATTATCAGCATCCTATGCTATTCTTCAATACACTTGCCGTTTTTGTTCTTGTCGTGGCCAAGTTTCCCCATATGCACAAAGTTCGTATATTTGGAATCAATGCCGATCAATGAGCTTTCGATTCATTGATATCTCCACCCATAGCTCCAATGTGTTTGTCGATACATCACACTATGTTTGTGGAACTTTGGAAAAGATAGTAGTATCACTTTGTCAAATATTAAGTGCTACCTTTGCGCGTCACTCCTTGTACCAACTTTTTCGTATGTCTGTCTCAAATTTTTGCACAAGCTATGTTTTCTCCAGATAAACTTCATCATCGCGAGTTGATTGATTTTGCAGTTTTGTATCGATCACACGCCAACAAGCCCTTTTTTCTTGTAAGAGTTTTGGTGTCTATATGGCACTTTTTTTGTATGTTAAATATATGCATATTTTCACTTGTAGTGGTATTTGCACACTGCAAAATTGTGGTCTCAGCCCCCGGAAGTGTGTAGAAATACTCCACATTCCCTCGATCTGGCATTTTCCACTTGGAATGTTGCATTCTTTTGATGGTAACTTTAGGAGTAATTCATCAAATTGGTTAGATTTAAAATAATAACATATTCTAATTTTTTCTATCAACATATATATAACAAATTGGATTGGATTATCAAAAAAATGATTTTCGGAAAATCCGCCAACCTTTTTTTCATTTAGTTCCCAATGCCTCTCCATATCATCTGCATTAGCTTTATATTTCATTTTTTTCCACAAATCGTCATACACATTTATTAAACATAAGAATTATAATATACTTAGATGTTTATTTAACTCTATCATTCATTTGGAATGCTAAAATAAATAAAATTAATCCCCAAACGAAAAATAAATAAATGAGTGTCAAGGCCCTCAACAACATTAAAATAGTGAAAGCCTGTAAGAATTGGGCCAAGCCCAGTTTAACCTTTACTGGACTAATTCTTCATCTGATTACGGGAAAATGAAAAAGAAAAGAAAACTCTCACACCACTTGGCTGCCCCTTTCCACAGTCGGAGCTCGAAACCAATTACATTTTCAGATCGCCGGAACTAATCAGCTGTTAATTACTACTCAGATCGTCGAATGGCTTCATCACGGGCTCTCAAAAGGCTGCTCTCATCATCGACCCGCTCTCTGAATCCCTTCCTCCGCCAATCAGCGGCCTTATACGACGCTCTCAATGCCTCCGATCGTCCTCTGGACCATCGCCGCCACTTTTCCTCTTCCCCTGGTACCTTCAGACCCTTATATACTCCGTCTGTTCTATTTATATAGTTCGTGAGAAGTTCATCTTATCGCTATTAAAGTCTAATCTGCTCCTGTTCATAGTCAATTGGTATGGAGCGTAAAAAAAATAAGTAACTTCCTTTTCCCCTTGAAATTTACCTATTAATTCGGGGTTTTGATTTGGGACATTGGATCGTGTTCTTCTTTACCTTTTGTGTCAATTTCGTGTTTGTTCAAAGTAAATAAAAATTTAGGTGAATCATACGATAATTTCACTTTTGGAGCATTTGTTGGGTATACTGTCAAATGTTAGGTTTGATCCTCCGCTGTATCTCACAAAACGGTAATAAACCCCATGTATACGAAGGAATTATCCTTATTCCTTGTCAAAATTTGCAGTTAGGTCGTATTTCACATCGTCATGTTTTAAATGGAATCTGAACTGTTTGTGCATTAATGCAGGTGGATTCGACCCGTTTTCTTGGAGGAGAAGCATGAGCATGGGCCAATCGAGTCAGTACTCTTCTGTCTCATATGGAATTGGTGATGTGGCCCACACTGGTAAAGAGGAGAAGCCGAAGAAAAACGTGCTCCGCCCTTTATCTCCTCATCTCCCTATCTACAAGCCCCAGCTAAGTTCAACCACCTCAATTCTTAATAGGATATCCGGAGTTTATCTTTCGGCTTATTTTCTGGGTTTCTATCTCGTTCCAATAAAATTGGGTGCTGTTAGCTTCAGCTATGAGGGTTTCTATCAATTCTTGTTCTATTCATCAAAACTAAGCCTTTTGTCCACTGAGATTGCTGCCTTAGCTTTTGCCTATCATGCTTATGCCGGGGTCCGTCATCTGTTGATGGATGTTTCCGGAACTGTTTTCTCAAGAAAATGAAACAACTGCGTTAAACTTTTTCACCGGATATAATATTTTCGGGTTGGATCTTGTAATAAATATTATTCTATGAAGTTTTTTCTAGCTTTTCTGCGCCTTTAAGCTGGCGCTGTCTGTTGATTGAGTTGTTTGAGTATTGATGATAAATTGATATATGTTCGAGACTCTGGTTGCCGTTTGTCAGTCCAAAGTTTTATCTTCTTTGTTTGATATTCGTTGTCAGCATGAAGTTGAGCTGCACATATGTATATCAATTGTAAGTTAGATATTATTCGCATCACATGCCTTGCATGCAAATGTATTATCATCATCAATTAACGTGAAAGAGACGTGCAATTGAATAATCAATTATTTTTGCCTCATGAGATCACAATTCATTTATCACCTGCTATGTGCTTATTTCTGGAATATATATTTACCTAAATTTTTAAGTTCTGGCAGAACCACACACTCATTGTATAATATGTTGACATGAAAGTGATTCATCAATGATCAATGGCACCATTTCTTTTTTTCTTGCTCTCATCACCCCTTTACCAAAACAGGAGAAAGCATAATTGAGGGTAAAATTTGGAAATCACTTAAAATGGACCTCATTCATTTTCCCACTTGAAATAGACTCATTTATTGAATACCATAGACTGTTATAGCATCCCCTAGTCCTTCAATAGGGTTTGTGTTTACATTAAAAATTCACCGAAATTTGTTAGAAAATCAGTGGTTGTCATTTGTGAACAATCGAACACAGGATTTTATCAACAGATTTGATAAATAGATTCGTTGTTTGATTTTAGACAAAAAATGTTTGATGTATGTTATTGGTTCTATTGGATTTAATTATGAAGCATCCCTTGTAGATGGACAAGGAATACATTTCCCATGGATTTTTCTTCTATTCTAATATTAAATTGCATATTTATTTCATCAATTAATTGATAAATTTTGGGATTAGGTATATGAATCTAGGCTGAACACGAGTTTACGAAATTAGTGTTCGAGCTCGACTTATTTATCAATATTAACGAGACTTATTTACCAATATTAACGAGTCGAGCTATAAAAAATTACATAAAATTTTCCATTTGGACCTTAGCGAGCCGAATTCGGCTTAGCTCGATAATTAAACGAGCTTAAACTTGTTAGAAAATCCCCTAGTCCTTCAATAGGGTTTGTGTTCACATTAAAAATTAACCCAATTTTGTTAGAAAATCAGTGGATGTCATTTGTGATCAATCTAACAGAGAATTTTATCAACAGATTTGATAAATAGGTACTTAGTTTGATTTTAGAAAAATGTTTGATATATGTAGATGGACATATAATACATTTCCCATGTTTTCTTCTTCTATTCTAATATTAAATTGCATATTTATTTAATCAATTAATTGATAAATTTTGGGATTAGGTCACCTAATATATGAATCTAGGCCAAACTCGAACTTATGAAATTAGTGTTCGAGCTCGACTTATTTACCAATATAAATGAGATTAGCTATAAAAATTTACATAAATTTTTTTACGTTTAGACCTTAACAAGCTGAACTTGATTCCGCCCTATGAGACCGAATTCAACTTGTTCAGTTGCCATATGGAATCGAGCCGAACCTAATTGTATTCTTTATACATGAAATCGATCAGTTAGTGGGGTGGGGAAGATTATTCTGCAGTACACTTGCCAAGGAGAATGTTTTGTAGGACCCATTTGAACGAGCATAAGAAGGTTAGGTTTGTCAGGTGCTTTCTCAATCTCTCAAAGTTGAAAGAGAAAGAGAAACATGGCTTTGGGAAGTAATCATCAAACCCCTTGAAAATAACATGCAATTTTTTATGTAAATTATTAAAAAGAAAAGAAAATCAGAGTAAAAAACAATATAAATAAATGAGAAGGGTCGGTTGTTTATATTTTTTTTTTTTATTTTTTTCATTCACATTGGATTGGGGATT